AAAATAAAGAAAACCTTAATTTTAAGGGAGACTCGGCGAGTCCGAGCGGGATCCGGGTCGAGGAGTAAGTGACCGACTCGGCGAGTCTGGTCTGTGCGAGGAAAACCCTAAAATCGGGACTTGGAGCCTATTTAAACGTCTCATTCTCTCCCCTAGGGCTCCTTCACTACCCCTTTCACCCAGAACATCAAACCCTAAGCCCCATTGTTTCTCATTCAAGCTTCCAAGCCATTTGTGGGGTGATTTGAAGGAAGAAGAAGAAGGGGAATCATTGGAGCTTCAAGGATTGGCCTTGGATCCGAAGATTGGAGAAGTTTTCTGAGTTATTGAAGGTATTAAGTCGTTGTCTCCTTTAGATCTAGTATGGTTGCGAGTTTTGGGGGTTTCCTAGCCATGATTAGTTACCTCTTTAAAGTTAGAAGCCAGATCTGAGGTTGCTACTTCAGATCTAAGCTCATTATGGTCTTGAGAAGCATAAAGTAGTAGCCCTTGAGTTGATTATGGAGCCTCTTTACCTTAAACCCTAGTTTATGGTGTATTTTGCTTAGATCTCCTCCTTTACACGTAAAGTTTGCAAATTTAAGTGAGAAATAGGCTTGGGAAGGGTAGATCTACAGTTTGGAGTCCATGCATGACTCAAAAGTCCTCTGCATGTAATGAGATTTGAATGGACTCGGCAAATCCTTTGAGTGGACTCAACGAGTAGCGTGAAGGTGAGGAGCAACTCGACGAGTGGGATGAACAGCTCGTCGAGTCAGATGCAGGTTGCCTTGTACTCGGCGAGTTTGTTCTTGGACTCGGCGAGTCAGGTTGCGAAACCCCAAACCCTTCAAGTTGAGACTCGAATCAGTGATTCGGGTAGAGACTCGGTGGGTTGGACAGGTCAGGACTCAGAAATCGGTAGACTCGGCGAGTCATGGACTGACTCGGCGAGTCAAGCCCGAAAGGAAGGACTCTGAATATATGAACTCGGCGAGTCAGTAGGATGACTCGGCGAGTAGGGTTGACCTGGAAGGTTGAACTTGACCAGGACTTTGACTTGGACCAGGGTTAACTTGGTTGTCTTTCGGGGGTCAGTTAGGCTCAGTATTGCTTTGATATTGGTAGTTCGGGGAGCAAGGGGAGCAGGAGTTCAGTGAGTTGTCGGGCAGCAGCTAGTGAGATCATCAGCAAGTTCAGCCAGTGCAGGTGAGTTTCCCTTTGTGTGAATGGGTCTAAGGCCACAATGCCGGCCCATGTAGTTATGAGTAGAAGACCTGGGGGTTAGCCCTAGGCACAGTATGCTAGTATGATTTTCAGGATGAGGTCCCTTAATAGCGGGCGGGTACCCAAGGATTTGTTTATATGATAGTCTATACTTGTTGTCTGTGTGATACATGTATGTGCCTGGTAGGGAGGTGAGTGTGGGCGAGGTCACGTATCTCACCAATAGCAGAGGGTGGATGGTGTTCCACATCTCATTAGTAGTAGAACAGGGGCGAGGCCCAAGCTAGAGAATGAGTGAGAGTGGGCTGGGCCCGTATCTCACTACCAGTAGGAGCGTGGACAGGGTTCCATGACTCATCAGTAGCAACACAAGGGCGAGGCCCAGGATAGGCGAGGCCTTAGGACAGGATCAGTTGTATGAGTTTAACTTATGTGTTGTGATATGTTATATGATATTATTAGTTGGCGGGCGAGGCCCTGTGATACGTGTATGTGTTATTATTTGTTGGCGGGCGGGGCCCTGTGACAGGCGAGGCCTAAGTAAAACAGATCTGTATCCGAGCGGGGCTCGAAGCCAGGCGGGGCCGTTGTAGCGAGCGAGGCCCGAGGTAGGGGCGAGGCCCAAGATAGTGGGCGTGGCCCAGTATGTGCAGTATGTGGTTATGCATGGTATGTGGTAGGGTGGGGAACTCACTAAGCTTCATGCTTACGGTTTTCAGTTTTGGTTTCTGGTACTTCCGGTAGCGGAGGGAAGAGCTCGGGGTGATCGCATGGCACACACCATAGATTAGACAACCTGGGAATGTTTACTCTGATAATGAACATGTGTTTTGAAAACTTATACTCAGATTATGTTTTGGAATGATGACTTTGCTTAAAGTAATGTTTTATTAAAAGAAATTTTTGGTCTTAAATTTTGGGTCGTTACAATATGTCTTTGTGACTCTTGCATATTTATATGATTAAGTTTAAATAAACCCCATGGTTGGGCCCATAATTGTAAGCTTAGGTTGGAATAAATCCTAGGGCTAGGCCCATGATTGTATGCTTGTGTTGACATAAACCTCAAGGTTGGGCCCCAAGGCTAGGCTCATTATTGTATGTTGGGTTGGAACATACCCTAGGGTTGGGCCCACTGATTCATATGATATGTGGTACTTTGGGGAAATTCATTAAACTTTGTGTTTATAGTTTATGTTTATGGTTTCAAGTATTTCCGGTACGAAAGGGAAGGGTCCGACATGATGGCACAACCTCCCCCTCATGTTTCCGCACTTATGATTATTTTTACTTTGATGATTTTGATATTTTGTATCGTGGTAGACTTTGATACATCTGAAGTATGGAATTAATGATTTTTAAAACGAAAATTTTTATCACTTTTGGGTTGTTACATTAATGGAGTTTTAGGGGATTTCTAACACTAACTCATTGGATTTCGTTTTCAATGGTTTGATTTGAGATATCTAGCTTTCAATTGATATCAATCAAGTTATCCTATCATTATTGAATACTCGTGTTGATTATTGTGGTGTTCCTTGAATTTTATAGAAATTCAAGCTTCCATTAAGTTGTTTCTAGACTTCCTAGCCGAAACTTAAGTTGTTTTTGTTTGACGTTATGTGGATTTGCGAAAATGTTTTTTATGGTATGGATATGGTAATGTTTTATAGGTTCGATTCGTTATACGATAATGTTTAACAAGTGTTTGTTGAAATGCCTGAAGGAAATTTTAAGAATCTAACTATGTAGTATACATTCTCTCAGAATTACTAGCAATACATGTTTTATATAATATTTTTATATTTTCATAGAATGAAAAGGTTTTTGCATTCTGATATAGAAAACAAAGAAAACATGGTGAACGATAAATACATTCTGTTAGAATGTTTTTAAGAATGTTTATTAAAAACAAGTATATTTGTTTAACCGATAATACTAATGAGTAATGCATGTTATAAAAACATTCTCACATAATGTTTTCGACTTTATGGTGGTTATTCTGTAAGAATTTATTTGTATAAACGCATTGTGCCAAATTACTTGTAAGAATCTTTGTTAAAATTTATAAAATATCTATTTGATTAAAAACATACTAATGAGTAATTTATGATGTTATTTTGATTTGGTCAAATCATTTTGGATATGTTTTCTTTGTGGATTTAGGTTTTGAAAAATATGTCATTGATATGAAAAAGGAAAAAAAAAAAAAACATGGAGAACACAATAGTTATTGAAAACAAAATGAAGAAAACATAGAGAACCAACATGTATTCTAACAGAATGTATTCTGTCATAACGTATAAAACGTTTCTTAAAAATAATACTCTTTCAAAATTGATTAGTGTTTTTGTTAGATTTGAATGTTTTTTTTCATTTTTAACCATTCTTAGTTTTAATCTTAAAGAATAATGTAATTCTTAAACCGTTATTAGTCATATTTTTTTCAGAATGAATGTAATAATTATTTATAGTCTTATTCTTTACGAATTAATGTCATTCTTGATAACATGTTGTATAATTCTTTAAGCATATTAAATATAAAAAAAAAATCTTGAAATGAAACCATATTCCACAATAATAAAATCGAAAATATATTTCTTAGTTTATGGTTGACTTTGTCATTCTCACGGAATAAAATCAGTTGTTATTAAAAATTATATAAGAATTAAATTTCAGTTACTTTAAAAAATTCAGATTTTAAAAAATAATTGAATTAATTATCCTTAAAATCCGAAAATTTCCTTTTTCAATCAGGTTAATTGATCAAAATACCTTTATGCTGAAATTTGAGTGATTATATAGTGCATGTTACCCTATTGTAATATCATATACTCTCGGATTATGAATTATGATTCTATTCCATCCGGTGGTCTAGATTTGTGCTTACGGGCACACAATAGTTATTGAAAACAAATAACCTAAACCTATATATATATATATATATATATATATATATATATATATATATATATATATACTAGAAAGGTTTTTGAGCCGTGCTAAGCACGGCCCATGGATATAGTTGAAGAAATGTTATTGAAGATGTATATAGATGATATTATATTGGTAGAATTTTAGAAGTGCAATGTTGTAAAAAGTAAAAAAAAAAATGAAAATAGATTGTATTATTGACATATCAATAAAAAGTACAATGTTCTTTGTTGTGTGTGGTAACAATGACGATGCTAGTGAATTGAGTATATTTTTCAAGTTCATGTCCTAATTAGTGGTGGCGGACCTTAGTGGGGCATTTCGGGTCCTGGCCACTACTCAATTTTTGGCGCACAGTATAAATTTTATTTAGCAAAATAAAAATTTGGGGTCCCGGGCCACCCCCTTGAAGTATGAGGGACACCCTACTAAAACAGTATCTATCTGCCACTGGTCCTAATAAGCAAACTAATATGATATAGACTTAATAAGGAAAGAACAACTTAATAGATAAAGTTACACGAAAGAGGCTTTCTCGGTAAGTTCTAACTTTTTACAAATTATTTCAACTTTTTACATATATCCCCTCATCTATCTAGTCCTACTGGTGTTGCCCGATTTTCTCAAATAGGTTGTGAACATTATTTATCCCGACAAGACTTTATCCATACAAAACTTATTGTGGAATAAAGAAACAAATCCTTATTCATTTATCAACCACCAGACTGCCATCGTTGCTACGTAAAAATCCAAAAAGAACCAACAACAAGCATCTCTGTAAAATAACAACTAATCAATCATTATTTATTTTGTAAAATAGAAACAAAGCACACCTCCTCTAAAATGAAACACATATCAGGTCACAAAGATGAACCTCCAAGTAACCATCCAGTATCATTTCTATCATCGCATTCATCACTATCTTCAACCCTATTTAAAATAAACAAATGCATATTGATAAGGTGATATTCTGATAAGAAAAAGGTGTATAATCCTAAAATGTAAGGTTAATTTATGCCACATCATATCATCAATTATGGAAACCATAAACATTAATTTCACAACAGAAATGGTTATTCAAAAATAACAGGGCAAATAAACAAACATGTTTGTAAAACATAAAAATTAGGAACAAACAGATGAGGATGAATCAAACATGTCTCTTCATATTCTGGAGCAGAAGAGAAGACATGGGCATACTCCAGTCATTTATTAATCTAAAAAATTAGAGAAAGTCAAATAAATATAATTAGTAATTCTTAACAAATACAAAACTATACCAGCCTAATACCTTTATTTAATTACGTGTTTCGAATTGGCAATTTCTTTTAAAAAGGAAAAGAAAAAAAATCACATATCCAGTTTCAAACACATGAAATTAATAACACTCTCCATGTAATGGACAACACACTACTAGAAAAACAGCCTTTTACGACGCTCATTGCGCGTCGTAAATGGCTCAGACGACGCACAAATGCGCGTCAAGGAAGGCCCTGTCATAAAGAGAGACGACGCACTTTTGCGCGTCGTCTATAGACGACGCGCATTTACGATGCTCATTTACGACGCGCAGTTACGACGCTCCTTTACGACACGCAATGCGTATCAAGGAAGACCCTGTCATAAAGGAAGACAACACGCATTCGCGTGTCGTAACCTTACGATGCGCGTGTTAATGACACGCAATGCGTATCAAGAAAGACCCTGTCAAGAAAGGCCATGTCATAAATGAAGATGACACACATTTTTTCGTATCATAATTTTAAATGTTTAAAAAAATATATTTTTTTATAGATTTACTAATTTTCAAATTAAATTTACATTTAATGCATCATAATAGAAAATAAAATATCATATACAAAATATATAATCCATTTCATAAAATTTAATGTCATACAAAAATAGAATCCATTGCATAATATTTTATTACAAATTTAAGATTTTTTTGTTTCCGTACTTTGACAATTTGTGCTGCTGCTGATTCTGGAGCCAATCTATGACTGCATTCCAGAGCTGATTCAGTGGAAAGAGCATCCCAGACTCCATCACTTGAAATTACAAGCCGCCCACAAGCAGAAGATAGTTGAAGATCATGAATAAATAAAAGTTGTTAATAAAAAGAGGAATAAATTGAGTTTAATTACTAATCACCAACACTCAAACCAATTAATGAAAGTTAAAGCATCTAAATAATATAGCATGGGATGCAAATATATCATGCATCGTACAAACAATGAAGATTTTTAGTTTCTGGAAGATTATTGACATCATTGGGATTAAGAGTTTTCTTTGCTTATCCACTGCACCTCATATGTTTCCATCACATTTGAAGGATTATAATGCTACATAGCTCTATTAAAGATGCTGAAATATCTCTCTATTGTTATGCATGAAATCAAGACATATGATCTTCTAATACTAGAAAACAAGAGCTATTCGGAATAATAAAACTACATACCTGAGTTTGCAAGAGGTATCGCAAGGTGCTGCCGACTCAAAACCAAGCAGCCTTAGGCACTTATCAAGGACTGAACTGAGGATGCACATCTGATAGAAAAAAGTTAAAAGTATAATTACAAGGATTAATAAAAGTTATTCTTCAATAATGAGTTTATAAGGAGTTTCAAGATTTTATGACTCTTTTCAGCATCTATAAAAAGTTTCTCAATTGTAATAGCAGTACTTCTGTTGAATATGTAATGGGTGATATTCGCAGTTGTACCTGTCCCTTGTTCACCAAGGAAAACATAAGAACTAGGGGAGAAGAAAATAGGGATTAGAACAGCAGAAACAAGAAAAAACAGAGGAACAATATTGGTTGGTGCTATAGATAACTTAACTGAATAAAACTTGGTTCTTAACATATTAAAAGGACAACGGTTACACCTATATATGCTAAATAAGATAGCATCCAAATATAAATTGAGGGGCAGACACAAGAATTTTCAACAATAGTGGCACCAAAGCCTGTAACAACAGAAAAGATAACATCAAGGCTTATCTAAAAGAAAACCAAATAAGCTCAATACACTTTAATAGCAACATGATAGAAGCATATGGCAGTAGAACTAATCAGGTTATGTATAAAACTAGATACATTATATATTATACATAGATATAAATATAGGGAAATAATTTACATACGTGAACAACATCATTCCTTTGCTTCCTACGTTTTTGAGAGGCCTGAACTTGCAACTGGAGTTCCCTTATTGCATTAAGTATTTCTGCAAAGAATTTCCTCTTCCTCGTTTCTACTCTATTCTTTTCTTCCTCCTCTAATTTTGTTAGTCTGTGCAGCAAATGATGTTAAAAGAAGAATAAGTATTAAACTAATAACTTCTTTTTTCCAAAAGCATACAAAGAAAATTCATAAACTTTTATCAACTAGTCAAAGAAAATATCCATCAAGATTCAAGATTTACCTCAGCATCTCGTTTCTTCTTTTATCAACTTTTATCAACTAGATGAAAGTACACAGTTGTTTCTTGCATTTAACCCATTAAATGTTAATCTTTAGATACAAAAGAGAATATGGAAAAGCAAGATGTTATAAACTACAGTCTACCTTAAGTCCATAGAGTTCAAGCAAACACTTTGACTGAAGGTCTTCACCTATGCTTGTAGGTAATTCTAAATTCATGATAAAGAAACAAATGAGTAAAGTTAAATGATATCTACTAACAACTTCACCTGCCAGTAAATAAAATGTTAAAGTATAATACATATGCTTGGCAACCTTCAAGTTGTGTCAAACGATTTTGGATGTGGCTCTCGATCCATTTTTTCCTTGTTTTTGCCATTTCAGAACCAGTTATGTGATTAGATTGATGTTTGACCAAAGCCTCCTCAAGGTCTGCCATTAAATCTCCTCTATTTGGAAATGGAGAGTTATTCTTTAACGATATCAAAAAGTTAGGCAAACACACCATGTAATAGTTATAAGTAGAACATATTTTACTCGGTAAATTCTCCTAAACATGAACAGTAGACCATAGGTCTAAAACTGAAACTGAAATTACTTATCCATTGAACACAGGGCCGGCCCTGAGATTTAGGGGCCCTGTACAAATTAGGAAAAATAGGCCCTAAGACTGATAAAATATAAAATAATATAAAACAAAAATATGTAGTTTTTCATTCCATGTCATAATGAACCACACACAGGTCAAAAGCTACAAGGCAGTTCACGTAGACAAATAGAAAAGTTGAATTCAACTAGAGAGAATTGCAAGAATAGGTAAACCACTGCTATCTTCAATGCTCATGATGGTTTCTACACATTCATAAAGTATTGCATTCCCTGCATTCTTGTTTGACTCAGTTTTTGTTGCCACCTACACAAGGAATTTCTTAAATTCTTATAATTTTGAATTATATATCACAATTCACAATGAGCTTTATTAAAATAAAAGCTAACAATAGGCAAGAATGTGATTCATGGAATCACTAGCATCAAACATCTCCATGGCCCAAAACACGAAAAAGGCGAAGCAGTCTTATATGAAGAAAAGGGTCTGCAATACCTGAAACATCATATTCAGGAGCATATGGGTTGTTGACAACATCCTTCAAAACTTTCACCAACACCTCTGTGCATTTCTATACCAATGGAAGAAAAAAGAAAATATATCTCATCACTAAAATTACTAATTTGCACTTATAGAATCATATGTCAAACAGTTCTTAGCGCAAATACACAGTAGAAAGATAAAGAAAGAGAACAAGAACTAAAGGAAGACAATCCTAACAAATAATAGAGGATCTTTAACAAGATCAAGTATATTTACCTTCCTGAAAATTTCAAGAGCCTCTTCATTAAGGTTACAGAGATCTGTACAGAGCTGGATTGCTATTAAAAGAACCCCATGATGTTTTTCTTTAAGTAAGGAAACAACAGGGTTGACAAGATTTTCTGCAAGGTTAGGGACCTTCTTTACAATCCTTATTAAGCACAATGTTGCCTGTAAATTGTAAGAACTTATGTGAGTATGATTCTTCATATGAAATGTGAGAATTAGATGAAACATCCTTGAGAGATCATGAAATGAAATAAATGTTAACATCAGCTTACTTTCTTTTGAATATTTGGATCTCGAAATTGCAGCAATCTTTCAACTTCAGGTGCAAGATCACGAGCCATTTCTACAGAACATGTATTACCCAAAGCACAAAGAGCTAGTCCCACAATGTACTGATTGGTGTGGTTAAGATCTCTGCAGATGATAAAAAAAAGATTCTCAAGTCAACCATGTTGCTTGAACACAAGATACAGGAAAGATAAGAGTGAAGAAGCACATTCTTTTCTAACAGCAACACGCTCTTCTGCAGCAGTTTTGCAGGCTCGTATTGCCCTAATAATGTCCCTGCAGTAGACCAATAATGTTTCATTTACAGTTTCAGACCCAACTAATTAACAACAAATTACGCATGTGGTATGAAATGTAGTCAAATCTTTTGCAGGTGAAGGATAAACCAAAAAGATGGAAAATCTTAAGTAGAGAGACATATGGTTTGCGAGGGATGGTTCATGACATAGTTTACGGATTATCTTCAAACCCAGATTAGGATCTTATAAAGTAGTGACAGTGTCTTACTCATTTGAGTGACCCATCCAATCGGGAAATACATGGATGAATTCCATTAAATGTACGCAAATCAAATGCCCCAACTATTACGAACGCGAACTAACTCTCAACATAGACAACTTGAGATAACGTTAATACAAATTAGGTCGAAATGAAGAACTAGTTCAAAATTGATCACAAGGAAAAGCTTTAAAACATAAGATCAATTGTAAACAAGCAACTCACCTTAGACGCGTCCCAGACGAAAAGGGCTTCATGATTAGGTCGGTTTTGAAACTGCGAGAGAGCTCGATCAGATCCTGAGATGTTTAGTGCAAAAATGAACTATATAACCGGGTTGTAGACCGGTGACTGCAATTATATGTATGTTTGATCAAATCGAGATCTGGGGAAAGGTCAATTACGAGGATCTGAAGAGGAATTTGAGATCTGTAACCTATGGATGCTAATGCAAACGTGATGATGATGACCAAAAATCTTGATTTCTCTCGCTAAATTCTTAGTTCAATCCGAGCTAGGGCTTATAAGGCCCTAAATCGTCGGCGCTGTGTGGGATGAGAAGTGGTAAGGTCCTAAATCGTCGGCTCTAGGATATAAGTAGATGGAGCATGTAAGTTCTTCACACTTTCAAGCATAATTGTAACCCAATCGTCGGCTCAAGCATAATTGTAACCCAATCATAGTCACTCAACGCGAAAATATGCAATTTTGGAACGGCGGAACTTTATGGCGAAACCGATAGCAGCTTGTATGCTTTCGGAGTTGTACTTCTTGAGATATTGTCAGGCGAAGAAGACAAGTGACGAACGAAGGAAGGAGCGTCGATAACTAGGCAAGGCAGCAGTCGAATCTATGGAGGGGGAAGAAAGGATCGTAATTAGGGCAAGAAGGAAACAAAAGTGGAGGATAAAAAAGAAGGCGGGTGTTCAAAATTTTTGGGATTTCATTTTCCCCCTATCTACTAAACGCGCTTTTCATTAAAATTATAAAGCGACATTCATAGAGGACGCCCATTTAAGATACAGCGCCCTCCGTGTTTTTAATTTTTTTTCGTATGACGCTAATTCAAGGGCACGTAATAATGCATGACCTAAATCCTTAAATTTTTTGAAGAGATGACGCTTTTTTAACGTCACTCTCCATTACGTAACATAAATCAATGAGTGTCGTGGTTTGCGTGTCGTAAAAGGCTATTTTTCTTGTAGTGACAAAAGGATGTAAAGAAAACATTATTAAAGATCAAGACACGAAATCCAAAACCAAAAGCCACTAAAAAGATTTCTTGAACGGCATAAGAACACATAAATATAGAAATACCCAATAGCAGAGCAACTTCAATCAAGTAAGGAGCACACTTTAGAAATGATATCCTATTTTATATCTTAAACATGTATATAATCTTTTAATAAGAGGCAAAAAAACCCATCTTTTGTAAATCAGAACCTTCTGAAAGAAGATTTAGTGAAAATACAAAGGATTAAGGATGACAAATTCCCAAAACATATGATTTAAATAGTACAAACATCCTAATATATTTGAAAGACTAAACTAACGAATCTGGATAGTGGATACAAAGCAAATAATCAACATGCTCATCAGAAACCGTCCGGCAAATCTTTAAAAAAAAAAAAAAAAAGAGTAAATACACAGACACGGATAACCACTTCAACAAATTAGAAATTTCTAAATTATTGAAAGGAAGATAAGATGAAACAATCATATCTGCAATATCAGAAAACCATAACAACCAAAAAATTGAAAAACCAAACTATTAGGGTTTGAGAACGAGGCCAGAGAACGGGAGCGAGACAAATTAGAAAACCATGGCGTCATTTTCTAATTCTGAAGAACCCTAAAACAGAAAACTCAATTGGTTTTCTTACCATTGAAAAAGACCTAGATTTAACGATCCCCAAAAAATAAATATGAAGAAGCGAATGCTCTCCCTGCCAAATCAGTTTGAGATTTTTTCTTTTCGAGGATGTGATCGGCGGCGAAAGATGGCAATCGTAGAAAGGGAGAGAATGAGGAATTGAAGGAGGGAATTCTCAAATACTTTTGGCATTGTCATTTCATATGGAAATTTATAAAGCGGAAACGACATACCGAATGATGAGGCATTATGAATCGACTTTGATATGCATGGCTTCTTCACGCGATCTGCTATTCTGTAACCATCTCTTACGCGGGCAGATACGACACAACGGAAGGTGAATTGGTACGAGTCAATGCTGATAATTATAGTGTCGTTTAGAAGGTGGGTTACGTGGCGTTAAATTAAGCGGGTTAAATTGATTTACAAGGCATTAGATAAATAAGGCTTTTATATATATATATATATATATATATATATATATATATATATATATATATATATATATATATATATATCTATATAGGATATAGATCCGGTAAGAAATTTTTTTTGGTAGGAAGGTAAGAAGTTTTTTTTCTACATATTTTTTGGACGAACAAAATAAATGAATCACTAGATGATTCATTTCTAAGATGATTCACAAAAAAAAAATTCTCAAAAAAACATCTTTATGATTCATTTTTAAGTAAATTAAGAAAAAAATTCATTTTTATGATAATTTTAGTGAATAACAACAAAATCACTGTATAAATGAATCATAAAGATGTTTTTTTGAGAATTTTTTCTTGTGAATCATCTTAGAAATTAATCATCTAGTGATTCATTGATTTTGTTTGTCAAAAAAATATGTAGAAAAAAAACTTCTTACCTTCCTACCAAAAATTTCCTTCTTATTTGATCTTGACTCTATATATATATATATATATATATATATATATATATATATATATATATATATATATATATATATATATATTAGATAACCATAATTAACCAAGGAACCAATTTTTTTTCAACTTTTAAAACTTATTTTTTATCAAAAAAAAAACTAAAAATACAGAAATTCAAAACTTTTTATCCTTTTTCCAATGATATCAAATTCAATTATTTTTTTGGGTCAAATTCACAAGACAAAATTACAAAAATGGTCCCTGTGGTTTACTAAAAGTCACAAACTCAGCCCTTATAATTTATTTATTTTGATGCAAATGGTCCTTGTGGTTTGCAAAACTTGCAAGGATAACCCTTTTTACTAACTCTTTTAAAATATTATCGTTAGTGCATCCAATGTGGGGGTATTTTAATCTTTTCAACTATAAAAGGGATTGAATTGGTTACATTTAGCAAACTAAAGGGACCATTTTTGTTATTTTTCTTAAAAAGTAAAGGAACAAAGGTG